GTTTGAGTGTCACTGACGAATGTTCAAAGCTGATAGTTACATCTTTAAAGAAAGTGTTGAGACATTTAGTGGTTAAAACGGTATAATGATATGTTTTTTTGTTAGAAACTTTTAACAAATAACCGAGAATAATTCTAATATTTATGCCAACTCGAGATGTTAGATTGGTCTGACACACCTATTATCATATCAATTTGATATTATTTTTATTGTCTCCTAATGATTCATCATCGTCTATCTATAAATATGAAGGTATAGACAAATAAGGCAAATTCAATCTACCTCTACTTCTCATAATACTCTCATTCCAATTTCATCTATTTTGACTTGAATATCATTATGCAATCGCAAAAAAAAATTTTGTCTTTGGATTTAACCATTATTGTCTTCTGTTTTTTTAAAAATGCACTACGATCGAAGCTTGACACAAACTAAAAGCTTTCAAAATATTAATTTTGTTTTTCTTCTAAAATTTGCAAGAACTTTATGCATGCAATTTACTCTAATTCATAAAATATTTTAATTTTTTATTTACCCTTATTTTTAACATCGGTTTCATGATCCTAATGTTAATTTTTAAAAAATTAATAATTAATTATAATTTTTTTATGATTAAAATTGTTAGAATTTGAATATTAATATTTATGTGTGAAATGAGAATAAAAAAATGTACATCCACCTACTCACAAGAAATAAATGTTACTAATGAATTTGTTATTTATTATTATCTTAATGTTACCTTTAAGTAGTCAGATTGTTGGTGCTTATAATTTTTTTTATTGAAAAATATTAATTGAGCACCAGTTGATGATATAAAAAAGAAAAATTCAACCTAATGTATTATCTTTTTATAAATTTGATGATGAGAATAAGTCATTAAATGAAAAAAAAATATTTTTAAAACAATATTTTAATTATCTTTAATTTAATACTTATAAGCACAAATTAACCGAATTTTTTTTTATACATTTGGCAGAAAATTTATAATAATATAATTGTAGACTTTCTTGTAGTTAAAAATTAAAGAAATAAATAAATGAAATATGTCCGTACCCCATGGTTTTCATGATGTATTTAATAGTATTTTATGAGCAGCAACAACCAATTACATAGTGAGCAAATTAAGAATTATGCAAACCTTATCCATCTTACAAAAGCAAGAAAAAAATATATTTATATAAAATATTTAAAGATTTAATCATAAAACGTAATTTTCGATATGATAAGAGCCTTTCAATCGAATTTTTGAATAAACCTTTTTCAGATATTGTATTTTAAATATGGTGATTTTAAATCACTGTTTTTTTTTTTTTTTTTTTTTTTTTCTGTCATTCCCTTTTTGCCAATTTTCGAGCTGAAATAATGCAACAAAAGCAAGAATGTTGCTTGTGAATAAAGGGATCACCTTTTAAGTTGAAAATTGAAATCCCATTGGCACAATTTTGTATGGTCAAACAACAAAATTGGGCAAGTATTGCATGTGATATTGGAATTTTTCTAAGAGAAAGGACAGCAAAGTGTCATGCGTGTTAGGTAGCTCATCGTTTTCTAAGGAATTAAAGATGTACTTCTCTTTGGTCTTTTATCTCATGCTTCTATTCTTTTATTCGCACCAATCTATATATAACACATGAATTTTTGAATTACATGAAGGGGAGATAGTCTTCTCCTTTTTATCTTATAGAATTTAATCGATTTTATATAGATTTGGTAATTCGTATTTATGTACCATATAAAATATTATATTCATATTATATTTTATATGAAAATTACGTATCATAATTTGTGTCGATACAAAAATATAAAATATATATTTTAATTTTTTTAAATTTATTTATGATTTTTTAAAAAGTTTAAACAAAATTATTTTCATATTTTTTATTTATATTATATCATTTTATAGTATTTTAAATTATCAAACATAATTTAATATCATAAAATCTATTAAATATTATTTTTAAAAATAATTATATAAATTAATTAAATTAAAATTTAGATTTTTTTTCATCTTTTAATTTTACAGCTGTCCTATATTTGGGGCCATAGAAAAATATTAAATTAAGATGTAGACTATTTAAAGAGTTTTGACTAATATGGGGTACCCAAAATCCCAAATGTAGCTTTAGACTTAAACCTGTGGGCACCAAATTCAACTAATTGAAACTTGCAAGACATGGAAGTCCTTCATTGAATCTTGTCAAGTGGAATTAATTAGTAGATATTGATTTTAATTGATGGCCAAAGAAACAACATTTTACATTAAAAAAATTCAGTTTGGACAGCTTTAAAGTTAGCCCTTTATTCCCATTTTTTCATTTAACAAATATAGTTAAAATTTCAATCCCAAAATTACAATACATCCAATTTGTGCCTCAATCAAAACATATAAGTAAATAGCAAACATTTTTTCAAAATCTTATGTGTTTGTTAAGAAAAAAACCTTCTAAGCTATTTATAAAGAATGTTTGACGAATAATTTTGAATGTAATCAGATCGATAAATATAAATGTATTTAAGATTATTTGAAAAAAAAAATAGATTATAAAAAATTTCTAAATTTCCTAATTATATTAAAAAATATAGAGGGTATTCCTTACAAGCATTATCTTCAAGGGTAGTTCCAAAGCGATAGAAAAAAAAGAGATAAATAGCAAATAAAATAAGACCAGCCACTTCATAAAGGCAGCCCTGGTTCTGACAAAGAAACTTCCAATGATCCAATTTCAGCAATGAACAAACATTAGGTGAGGCATGACTCGGAAAAAGGAAGGCCAAAAGCCACATGGCAAGCAAAAATATGGTTAAAATTACCAGCACTACGCTCCACTGGGACCTAACTTTTCGGCTTTTTTTAACTACTGATAATTAATCAAAGTCGTAATGAGTATGCTCATCTGTCAATTATTGTTCAAGAACCTCACCTATCGGCTATCCGTCACAAAATGTTTTGATTAGTTTTAATTCAACAATGTTGCATTTGTAAAAGTAATAAAAACAAACTTTGAATAATAGATTAAATAAAATTGGATCAATTTTAAGAAGCAGACATTTTGCAGCTTAATCAAACATATACATCAACATTTTAGTTATTTACAATCGATTTAAGAGTTTGATTAGAAGATTTTCATCGTATTGAAAGTACATTTTATGATTGAATCTTTAAAATGATGTGATTAGAATCTCTAATCGAATTTCAATTGGACCTTTTAAAACACTGTTTTTGAATGGCAAAAATAAAATATTAACAAGTAAAAATTAGGTGGTTGCCCAAAATATGATCCACCTACTAGTTTTTTAAACCAGAAAAAAATTGAGTTCTTCTGCTTGCAGCCTCTGCTGGAATGGACCTAAACATTTGGCATTCTGCAAAACAATCATTAATCGAAGACTCATGAGCTCATAAGCCTGTTAATTTAATTTAACTTCCAATATCTTGTCTAAGAAACTCTTAGCTTTAATTTCCGAAGTAATATCACATGGAATCTTAATAAGAAATATTAAAATTAGTTCACATCTAAGACATTCATATTCTTTTTTATCTTTCCTGATGAAATGCCAGTTAATGAAAACAAACAATCTTGGTTTAATTGCAATATATTTTATATTGACTTACAAATGAGTTAGTATTAATTGACACCTGATTTGCTTATAATTAAAATTTGATAATTTATGTATTAATATCGTATTTATTTTATATCATATACGTTTAAAATTTAAAAATTTTTATATCATAATTTGTACCGACACATAAAATATAATATATATTTTTTGATTTTTCCAAACTTATATTATTTTTGTTAAAATTTTAAATTATGACATATTTATATATATTTTTATATTATTTTTATATTATATTATTGTATTGTATTTAAAATGATTAACTTTAACCTATGGGATATGTGATATCTAATTTAAAATTTTCGGGATCGACACCTACATATAATTTTCCTTGGTTTAATCATATGCTTCACTTGAATTTGAAGCTACCATTTAAATTAAGTAAGGAATCATTTTAGTTGTCCTCCAATTAAATGTTGGGTTTTTTTCTCTTTGTTCTTATGGTGGAGTATAACTTGGGCAACATTTAATTCCCCCAACAATTGAGTCAATTCCTCACATTATTAGGGTTTGTGCTTTTGAGACGGTTAGGATCTCAGTTTTGCAAGTTATGGGAAGGTCACTAATGTAAGGAAGTTCTAAAATATGGCTTAAACTTATGAAACTTTGTAAGACTAAGTATAAATTTATCATTACATTATGGTTTAATATAAAATTTTGTCATTAATTTTAAATCTTATCGAATTCGCCAATATAATTTTAATTCCATTGATTTTTTTAACAAAAAATAAAGAAATTGATGAAAATTTATTGCTTGCATTAACGGAATATTTCGTGAAATATTTTAATTTCGTTAGTTTTTATTCAAAAATTAATAAAATTAAAAATATAAAAAGTAACATAAAAATTGAATTATATACAATGATAAACTTAAATATTGAGTCATGCTATATTGACAATTTTAAATTTATTCCAAATATTTTCTATATTTGAAAGAATTCTCATTATCAATCTAAAAATATAAATAAATCTTGAATTCATATATTTATATTTATTTATTTCGTATTTAACGCAAGTAAAATTTTTGCCTAATACAAAACATATTTTTTGATTTTTTGTCAAATTTATATATAATTTTAATTAAAATTTTAAATTATATTACTTTTGAATTTTTTTATATTATATAATTATATCATGTTTAAAATTGTATGATTAAGTTTTTAAGTAACCCTTTAGCAGTATAGTATAGACTTCTGGGCTCTAAAAGTATAGTATTTCAAACCGGGTTGGGCTAGGTTTTACATTTGGAGACTTCTGGGCTCAACTATGCTCTAGGCTTTGTAATTACCAGTCCAATTGTAGGAATCCAATTGGAAGCCCAAGCCCTCAGAGTTCGTGATTCATGATTCATTGGACACCGAGGGGCCGTTTCAAAGGCGTCAATCAAACAGTAGCGAGCTCTGCTTCAGGTCAACCTTGGAGCGAAGCAGCGAGTGAGCGGCCGCCTTTGGATGCCTTGCTTACAGTCACAGGTAAACTCGCATTTTTGTTTCTATTGATTTTCAACTGATCAGTCTTTATTATTTCTGGGTTTAGATTCATTTCTCTTTCTATTATCTTCAATTAATTTCTTGTTCTGTTATATGATTTTTTTTTCTGTACATATGAATCTAAAGGAGTAAATTTTTGTATTTATTTTTTCTTAAATTTGTATGGGTAATTTGTTGATTTATGGGAGCATTTTGATTTGTTCACTAACATCAGTTTACCTTAATTTCCAAAACTAATGCATAAATTTTTCATAACATGGTTTTTTTTTACTTCAGAGTTCAGATGTATGATTTCCTACATACTATTACTACTTAAATTCTCATTTTGTCTTGTAAATATTGTAGATTAGTTGAATTTGATACCAGTTTTACGCTCATCGGGATTGCGATTGTGAAACATCAAGATGGTATATGAAATAACTGAGAAACAAAGTAAGCATAATTTTTCTTGTGTAAATATGAGCACATATGGACTTTGCACAGATTGGCTTTACCACTTTTGGATATGGATTGTTGAAACATTATATCTCTTGCAGTGATTAGACATTTACCGTAGCACTAACTGCGTAGAAGAAATTTGTTTTGTTAATTGTAATTATCGTTTGATTGGGTATTTGATGTACGTAGGCTTCACCAAAGAGGATTTGTTTGTCTTAAATTATGGTTCTTGTAAAAAATGATCTTAAATTAACACCTAAATTCCATTTTCATAAATTCGAATGTCATGGAAGCCTCTAATTATATTTGCATGGTTCTTGTAATAACCTACCTTTCATCACTGTGTCACTTTCAAGCATTGGTTTTGGGTCATGAGCTTTAGATTTTGAAAGTATGAATAGGTAGTTGGTCCTAAGCACACATGAAATGAAGTTTTATTAAGTGTTAAATTTACCATGCAACTTGAACAAATTTTATATTTTACTGGATTCATTTGACATCAACTATTTCTATATTCTCTTGAGGTCTTTAATTTGGTAATTTAACTTTGGGTTCTAACATGAGAAGGTTTGGCTTTAATTTGCAGAGGTTGGCTTGGGTCTTATCGGCTTCGGCATTTTCTTCTCATTTCTTGGTGTAATTCTCTTCTTTGACAGGGGTCTGCTTGCATTAGGAAATGTAAGGCTTTCTTCAGAAACCACGTACTCTGATGTAGATTATATGACACAATATAATAATTCATTATATTTCAGTATTCTAACTTTCTGGTATTATGCAATCAGATATTGTGGTTAGCAGGGGTGGCAATTTTGATTGGTTGGTATTCTACTTTGCAGCTTTTCACTAACCGAAAAAACTTCAAGGTATCAAATAAAAAACATAGTGCTAATTCACTAGTTCCATAATTCTTAGAATGGTTTTAATTTCTCAATGTTTATTAATTGTAATAAATCATTCTGGGGTTGATCTCTTTCTCCTTTCTTATACAGGGTTCTACTTCTTTTCTTCTGGGGCTCTTTTTCATATTTGTTCGTTGGCCAATAGTTGGTATAATCTTGGAGATATACGGTTGCCTTGTTCTTTTTGGGTTAGTTTCTTGTCTCATTATGAGCTTTAAATAAGAAAGCTTGCTTATGCTGCTTGCTAAACTTTTCTTGCACCATTTTTTTCTTCTTTTAGTGGCTTTTGGCCTTCTGTAAGTGTCTTCCTCGGTCAGATTCCAGTTGTCGGATGGGTTATACGGTATCCTTTCATGGTATGTTTAAGAACCTTTTCTGGCTACGTCATTCTACTGCTTTTCTTACAAGATGGCTTGGTAGAACAGCATATTGCTTTCCCAAAATTTTTTAGGTCACTATTAAATGTGTGGAAAAACATATAGTCCATCTTTGGTTGCAATAAGTTTTTATCACTTTCCATATGAATATTACGAGATTCACTTCTTAGGATCCTTATTATTGTAGTTGTTGGCTGTTGCCCATCTACAATTTATAATAAACTGCTATGACTTTCTAAATGTCTCTTCTTGCTAATCACAAGGAAACTTGTGTGAATAAGTATTTATGCATGCACATGTTAAATGGTGCATCATGTAGATATCTGATCTGACTATTTTCTGTTGGCAAAATAGTTACGTTTGCTATTTGTTAGTGACTACAGTTCCTTAATCGCTTGAGAAGGGGTTCGGATTGAATACATGGTGTGAACTATCTGATGTTAATCTTATCTAAGGTATTATTTGGATTTTGGAGTTCTATATTTCACTGTGGTTTACATTTAATTTCAGAAGCTTATGACGCTTGTACATGAAGACATAAGGGAAGCTTATACTTACAAGGAAATCTAGTTACTAAAGTATCATACATATAAGGTTATGGATACTAGAGGATGATAAGTGATAGAATGATAAACTTTTCCCTTGAATTGAAAGACCTAAACCTAATCATTTGCTTGCTTTTTAACAACAACACAAAGTAACGGTGAAAGTTCTGTTCAACATGTAGGCATGACTTATTTGAAAAGTCAGAGATTTAAAGTTCTACTACAATGTCCAAGAAGGCAAGAAGTTCAGACAACAATGCATAGGTTGATTTGGCAATTTATATTTTTTGTCTATATCTTGAAAAGGATCGGCGAAAGAGGCTATATTGCAGGTTAAATTGATCTGTGTTGTAAAACTTGTGTCAATGAGATAAGTAGTACCCCAACTGAATATGTAAGTGTTTGATATCTGTTGCCTTTGGAAGTAGGACTGCAAGAATTTATCTTTAGCAAATTACTCAAATCTTGTTTCAAGTTTGATTTTATTTTTCTTACTGAAAACTCCATTTCAAGAATTATAGTATTTTAGTTATCAAATTTGAAGCATCGTCTACATTAGTTTATGTAAGCTAAGCTTCCTGTAAGTTTTCCATGATTGGAAAGGGAGACAGAAAAGAAGCTGAAACAGATTTTCATTAAGGATTCATGATGTTTGACAAAAATTTGAGGAAAACAAAGATGAAAATTTAAGGGAAAAACAAAAGAAAAAACTTGTTGTGTTGCTGCTGAATGGTTGAAAGTAGCATAGTACACAGCTGAAATATTAGAAACAAACAATTGTTCACACACAATAACTTTAGGCTATTATTTCTTGGTTGTAGCTGAATAATTATGAACCATAAGTTTCAACCACATACATTAGATGTAGGGTCTTGATTGAGCCAAAACCTTACATTTTTTTTGGTCCTGGAGCTGGAATCCCATCTTCGCTTGAGGGCACAAACAACACCCATCCGATACCCTATGATATCTGGGTTTTGAATTAAATTTTTGTTCATTCTTAATATGTCACTTACATTAGCAGATAGCAGAGAAGCAATATCCCATAAAGTATCATTTTGCTGAACTGTATATGTCACTATGATTTGAGTGTCACTTGCTGCACACCCGCACAACAGATGCATGGACACTATGTTTCCCACAATAAAATTTTCTTCTCCGAGATCCAAAGCTTGTCCACTGTATATCTGAGTTGAAACATTTATAAACGTATCGTTCTGTTGAACTACATAGGATGTGTCGTAGAAGTATGCATTAGAGCCATTAATATGTATGCAGGAACAAGGCACTGATGATATGAGATAATCTTGCTTGTTTCCACGGAAAATGGGATCGATCTGGCATGAGCTAATATTGTAAAAATTGGAGATTTCATCTTTTGGCAGGGCCATAATCGATGTGGTATAACGAGGCATTACATGTCTTGATGCTTTTGGAGCAAGCAAGAGGGTACATGACAGATGATGATTCCAGGGAGACCTTGGAGGCAAAAGCTATAGAAGATGATTCCAGGGAAGGAGATGATGAGAAGCCATGATGAAAAGAATTTTTGGAAGGTAACAAAGAGAACGAAAATGGATGACTCTTTGCCTTGAGTCGCTTGAACGGATGATATAATGTTGGACTATTGGACTCTTAGTTTCAGTAATCTGAATTCAAATCATGACAACTTCAAATAAAAAACAAAGAAAAAAAATGATGACTTTGTTGTTTGTTCCTATAGAAATGCCCGCCCTTTTTCAAGGTTCCTTCATTCTGGTTTGCTGATGGGTGATGTCTTTATGCATATCAGAAATATCCGCCACTTTCCCAAGTTTTTACAAGAAAAGTTTAAGATTGCCTTTGCCACTTTCCTAAGTTTTTTCAAGAAAAGTTTAAGATTGCCTTTGGAACTTAAGTTTGCAATAATCATAATAATTTGGATTGCAAATTTAATATAAAGTGTATAATAATATTTTAGGGTATAATACTGGCATCTTATATTTTATTCTTCCAATTCATTCATATAAGCATTACGATTTGTTATGGATATGGTTAACAAGTGTTTAAATACTAATTAAGATTTATGGATCTGGTTAATGAGTGTTATAAATACTAATTAAGGTTAATTAAATTCGTGAGTCTTGCACAAATCAACAAATACTAATATGTAAAAAATGGTGATAGTTTTTTTTTTTTTTTAAAGTAAATTGATACCATATATCTATAGAGGCTAGTGTATACACATTTGTCATGGTGCTTTTTGTTATTAAAAAATAGTTTTAATTTAAATTCATAAATTTAAATTTTATTATAAATTAATTATTAAAAAAATAAATTTATTATAAATAGTTTGTTGAAAAAATATTACAAAATATCCCTCAATTCTTAATCTCTATTTTTATACTTTGTATTGACATACATAAAAAATATAAGAGGTTTTGCAAGTAAAATAAAAAAAAAATAATTTAATTTATTATTAATTATTTATCATATTTTATTTTTATGAATTATGCTGATTTTTTTATTTTTATTTATTTTATTTTATTCTTACTGAATTTAATGAATTATCATATTAAAAAATTTTAAGACTTTCTTGGTAAAGTTAATAAAATCTTTCATACGTTTAAAATTTAATTTTAAAATATTATTTATGTATTTATTTTTTCTTTTAAAATTTTTTAAAAGTTCCTTAATATTTTGGTGGATTCAATAAAATTCTCATCATTTTAAATTTCATTTTAAAAAATTATTATTATTTTTTAAATAAACTTTTATCCATAGATGTTAAAATAATTAACATATTTTACATTTCAATATGTTTTTATGAACTTTATTTTTTAAAATATAATTTAATAAAGTAATATAATAGCAAATAATATAAGTAAAAGAAATTATTTGATACGTTATCAGTACAATTTTTTAATTTTACAAATGGGTTAACATGGTGATACATATTTCACTTTTTTTATTTAATTTTTTATTTTTTAAAATATATCTTAAGTACATATATCAACTTATTATCTATTTATAGACATCCGATTTGATCCGAGCCCAATCCAATTAGGTCTAAATCAATCCAAATTTAGTCCAATCCCAATTATCTAAGTTGTTGTTATTGTTATTGTTATTATTATTATTATTATTATCCAAATTTATGTTTTATCTTGAGTATTTATTTATCTATTTATTTATTTATTAATTTTTAGTTTCTGTCTTTATCTGATTTTTTATTTTAAGTATTTATTTATTTATTTATAAATTCTATCTTTATCTGATTATTTATTTTAAGTCTAATTTAATTTCATTGTATTTTATTATATTTTTATCTGATTCAGTTATAATAAAAAAAAAAAAAAGAAGAGAAAAAAGGATAATGGAATAATTGAAAATTGGTTGGAGAAAAGGATTGGTCATAAGAAGGATTTTACTCTCTTAAAGTGATAATTCATTTAATAAAAATATTTTTTTAGATAAATACAATTTTAATTCGATAATAAGAATGAGATTTTGATTTTTGAAGAATTTGATCTTCATCCAAATAAAAATCAAGTTAGAAAACTATTCTATAATTAGGTTACAATCAATAGCAAGTAAACCATAATTAACATAGAACAATCAAGAGCAAAACAAAGCAAATCAAATAGGAAATAAGAGAAAATATAACATATTAGTGCATAAGGGTTTAAGTTTGGAGATTTTGTGGATTATGGATCTTTGCTTTATTTTTAGGAAAAAGATAGATTGAATTTATTTGAAGAGGGTTTTTGGAAGAAAAGTTGCTTTGGCAGAGAAGGGCAAAAGAAGAAAAGAAAATTTTTTGGAAAATTTTCATGTTACGATGAAGTTTTTCGATGAAATTCATATTTTTCGGCCTAATTCTAGCCAAGTTTCCAGAATTCCATGTGATTTTTTAGAAATCGATAAAGATTCAATCAAAGTTTTTATTGGCTAGAGAAAGAAGTTAAGGAAATGATAAAGGAGAGAGAGAGTAGGGGAAAATCTAAAGAAAAAATAAAAAATTTTGGGATTTTATAAATGACTTAAATGGTGTCGTTTTGCCTTTAAACATATCTTAGGATTCATGTGTTTTCATTTTACTCGACCTAATTTGATCCGCTTGATTCGACAACCCACCCCTGTTATTAAACTGTGAAGTTGAGCCAAGTTGAACTTGGAGTCACACCTCTTGAGCTGTCTTCTATATCTTCAGTCAAGCCTTTTCAGCCGTTGAGCCTAGCCAATTTCTTTGTGGTATTATTTATTTATTTTTATTCTATTTTTTGTTGGTTTATTTATTTATTTTGTCATTTGTTTTTTTTTTGAATATTTTGCATGATTAAATTTAAGGAAAAATTAGAAGAAACAATAAGAAGTATATAAAATAAAACTTTAATAAAATTTTAAGAATAAATAATAATTATCTAATGATGGAATTTTTAAAAATTACAAATGGCTAATTTTAGAAAATTTTAAGGTGAGAATTTTTTTCTAAATTTGACCTAAATGGAGGAAAAATTTAGATAAAGTTTCAATAATAATAATTAATATTTATTTTTAATTTTTTTAAAAAATTAATATTTATTTTTAATTTCAAAAATAAAATATATAAGCAAATTTAATAAAATTTTGGGATTGAAATTAACAATTATCTAATGATGAGATTTTTAAAATTTCAAATGATAAATTTTTTATGAAATCTTTAGATTAGGTATTTCTCTAAATTTAACTCAAATGACAAAATGATTTAGACAAAATTTTAATAAAAGTAATTGTATTCTTTCTTAAATTAAAAATTAAAAATATATAACTTAGAAATTTATGTAAAGATATGTGACAATTATCTAAGAATGAAATCTTAATAAAAGAATCACAAATGATTGAACTTTTATGAGATTTCTACGTGAAAGTTTTTTTTTTTTTTTTTTTTTTAAATTCAACTCAAAAGGTGAAAGAATTTGGATTAGACTTCCAAAAATAATTATCATATTTTTTTCTTTTTAAAGTTAAGAAACAAATGACAAATAACAAAAGTTTAGATTCTAAAAAAGATATTTTTAAATTTAACCCAGATAATGAAAAATTTAGAAATAGAATTTGGAAGATATTTCTAAATTTAGCTAAAATTGAGAAAAATTTAGAAATGAAACAGTAAAATAAAAGATAAATTTTAAAGATGAAATTTTTAATAATTGCAAATGGATAATTATCGAATAAATTTCTAAGTGAGAAAATATTTTCAATTTAAACCCAAATGGTAAAAGAATTAGATATATTTTTAATAAAACAAAATTTTAACAAAAAAAAAAATCAAATGATTAAGTTTTTCCAATAATAGAGCTTTTTCAAGAAAATAAATGAGATTATTGAATACTCTTGAAGTAAAGAAGTATGTTTAAGAATTCTGTCATATTGATGGAAAAATCTTAAAAATTATTTTTAATATTTAAGTATTAAAATTTAAGACCATTAAGACCATGGACCCTTAGGATAATTTAAAATAAAATGGTACTGTACTTTGGATGAGTATGTAAGGGTGCTATAACATTTCCCATACATAATTAAATTCTCAAACCCTGTTCTGAAATGTAGACCAAAACCTATTATTCTAGGAACCCTAAGTCAAGTTTAAGATTTTCTTAAAATGATAGATTCACTTAGGTGACCAATCACACCTTAATAAAAGATTGGTGGTGATTGCTTTAAGTTGTATCTAGCTATAAGTCTACAGATTTGTACGTTATGATAGTTTAGTGACTCTACTAGGAACGTATAGAGAGTTAGGCCATAAAATTTTAAATTTATCTTATTGTTTGATTTAATGGTTTTAAAATGTAATGATTATGTTATTTTTTTACTAACATTTTTTCCTTTGTTGTCTTTTATTTGATTTATGAAAATTTGGGGTTGAAAACTATATATGTTCATTCACACACATTATCACATGTATTTGCATTATACCCTGGCTTTGTCTCTTTTAGGAGAGAATAAAGTACTTATACTCCGTGAGATGATAATCTCTATAATAGCTAGTGATATACTCTCACTCAAATTGAATCATTTTCGTTGGTAGCTTGTAATGGGTGAGGATTAGAATGTCTTACTGGTCTATGATGGATAATTATGTAATGAACAATTTGAAAACCTTTAGTAATCAAAATCACTTAGCCCTACATGTAGTCCACATTTAAGATGTCAACTTTAAAATAAAGCCATTCTTATCTGTTGATAGATGTAACATAAAATTAGAACCCAAGAAGGAATAATTTGTGTCATATATTGATTATTTAACCATTTTATTTGTTTAACTTTATGGATCTGTATCATTTGATTTGTTTGCATTATCATATTGTCTGTTTAACTTTATGCATCATTTTCATTGTCATGTTTAACTTTGTGCATATAATTCTCATATAGGAAATATTTACCACATATATGTTTTGGGTAAACCAAATCTCATGGCTATATTTATCGAAGGCCAAATACAATCAAAGTTTGCATCAATTCGTTATGAATTTTCTCACCAATTAAAAATTAAGTTAGAGAAAGGCAAAAAAAAAAGTAATTATCTGTTCGAGGGTTTTGTCTCATTGTTGCATGAAAAAGTTCATCTCGATCTCTAATGAAATGACTTACTGACTTAAACAATGTTTGAATAAGCATGAGTAGAATAAGACAAGAGGTATTTGAGAATAGATATGGGGATACAACTTTACTGCTATGAGTAGATGTGAACTATAATCTGATCAGAGCCATTCTATAGTTTTGGGATCCTTTTTATAGGTGTTTTGTCTTCAATGAAGTAGATATGGTGCTAACAATTGAAGAGTACATGGTCTTACTTTGCCTTGATTTGCCAAACTCAGAAAAAATTTATTGGTCAAACAAGGTGAGTTATCATAAGAAGCTTGTGCAAATGTTTGGATTTAGCTTGCCTCAAGTTGACGCATGTGTTAAGACAAAAAGTGAAAACAAAGGTATTCCATAGAATTTTTTGTGAAACTTAATTCATGAACACTTAGATGATGATCAAGGAATAAAAATGATAGCTATAACTTTATATGGACTGGTGA